AAACTTAAGGAGGCTGGACTATGACTTAAGGTCAAGAACGATTTCTGACTGCACACTGATTAAATGCAGAATCTTATCACAACTGGAGTCGGATGGCAAGGCCTGGGAAGTTGTGTCCACCACTTTCTTTGCGGGGGGTGTGGGGGACTCTGTGTTATTCAATCAGCCACCTGCAAGCCAGGTAGGCGCTCTGGGGCTGCTAAAGGCACAGGTCTCTCTGTGTGTAGAGCTCTGAGGGGAGCGAGCAGCTCACACATCCACCCCTCCCCGCCTCTGCACCTGTCTGTCCCCGGGTGGCCAGAGATGAGTGCTGAGCACTCCCTGTGCCTGCAGGTGCCAGCCCCTCACTCCTGTGCAAGGGCTCCCCATCCCCGGCCAGTGTCCTCCCTCTCCTGCAGCACCAGCTCTTGCTTCTCCTTTCCACAACTACAGCGCATGGTCCCCCATCTGATTCTCTTTCCTCTCCTCTTCATCCCCTCCCCCAACTCTCTCTCTCTCCTCCTGACTTCACTGCCCCCTCCAGCTAGAAGAAGTCTTCTATTCTAAGTGTTCACTTTCCTAAACCTTTCCCATCAGACTCAGATACTCACTGTCAACTGTCCTTACCAGCGTCACACATCTCTGTGCTCAGCCGTCTTACTGACCCATCGGCACCTGGTTTCCAGGTCACTGCACCCTCCCGGCTTCCTGTCCTGCTGGCCCCCCCTCCTCAGTCTCCTTTGCTGGTTCTCCCCCTTGCTGAGCTGGGAACATGCTGCACCTGGCACCGCCCCTGCACACCGTTCTCTTTCGGCTCGTTCACTCTGGCCACCTGGAGTCCATTGGTAAGCTAATGATGCTCGATCTGTATCTCCAGGACACCCCTTTGCGGGGCACATTCTCTACGTAGATGTGCGACCCAAACGTAACGGGCACAAACTGGCCCTGGCATTGGGACTACACATGTGCCAGCACGAAGCCCCATGGTGACCTTGCACCTCGCTAATGTGTGCACACTTGGGGAGGGGCTGGGGACACTTTCTCCCCAGCTGGGACCCCTGCACCCAAGCATGGCTGCAGACGCTCTCGGCGACACCCGAGTCCTTCTAGATGCCGGGTGGAAAGAACAGCCTCACCTAGCGCTGGCTCACCTCCAGACTGGCTCTGTGTTTATCAGCATGGTCACCCCCTTCCCGCCCGCGCACCTTTCCCAGCACAGCCCTTGCTGTCCCTCTGACACTTGCCTCTGAGCATGTGCCGCCCCTCAATTTGGTGTCCTGTCCTGGCCTGCTTACCCGAAGTGCCTCTTCCTGTCTCAAGGCCGCTCCCTGTGAAGTCTGCCCTTTCCCAAGTTGCCACTCAGATGCCCCTCAGTACCAACGACAAGACCAGCCTCTGCTGTGGTTCAGCACCTGGTCTGTCTCCCCTTTGGGCTGAGCGACTTGAGGCCACTGGACACCTAGCTTGGAGCACGTCGCTGGCACACAGCAGTCCTCAGTGACTATCCATCCGCTCAAGGTACCAGTGACGGAACTCCGCCACTCTAGAGCTCAGCACCATCGATGTCTGGGGCCAGGCCATTGTTTGTGGGCGTGGGGGGACTGTTCTATGCATTGTAGGGTGTTTATCAGCAGGTTTGGCATCCTCTAGAACAGCGGTTCTCAACCTGTGGGTCGCGACCCCTTTGGCGGTCGAACGACCCTTTCACAGGGGTCGC